GAACACTGGAGGGATCAAATCACTCAGTAAAATGCCATTTCTCATGGCATTTAAGGTCCACTCAGATAACCTCAGAAAAAAATTTAATCTCATTATCTGTAACATAATCACCTTTGTTACTATCTAAGATCATATTCACCTTTTGGGGATATACAGTAATATTCACATATTCTATTGATCAGGACATGGACATACCCTTTGGGGGCTACCATTCAATCCACTACAATAGTCAATAAACACATAAATTTGCCATTACAAGATGTCCTTATGAAGACAACAGAGCAAGGAAAAGGGGTAAGACAGTGACAGGGGATGCTACGTTTGATAAGGGTGAGAGAGGGCCTCTTTAATGACGGGCGCTGGAGAGGAGACCTACTTGAAGCAGATGGGAGAGGAGTCTTTCAGGCAGAGGAAAGAGTAACACAAAGATCAAACACAAAACTAGTTATGTTTGAAGAGGTGAGAACAGCAGAGAGATTGATGTTGTTAGAGTAGAAGTGTGGTAGGAGATGGGTCAGAGACAGAATTTGAATTTTATTCTGAGTAAAACAGGAAGCCGTTGGTGGATTGAGAGTAGAGGAGTAATCAGTCGATTTGTATTACTGTGGCTGATAGAGACTAAGGAGAGGGCAGTAAAGTGGTGTGACCATTTAGGAAGGTACTGCAATACTCCAGGCGGGAATAGGACTAGGGTAGTGGCTATGGAAGTGGTGAGAAGTAATATGATTGCGGATGTATTTTGAAGGTTGAGCCATTAGGATTTGCTGATTGAGTGGCTATATGTGAGAGTAATAGAAGAGTCAAGGATGAAGACACCTGGGTGGCTCAGTGATTGAGCATCTGCCTTCAACTCAGGTCGTGATCCTGGGAAAAAGTCCCACATTGGGCTCCCCGCAGGGAGCCTGCTTCTGCCTCTGCCTGTGTCTCTGCCTCTCTCTGTGTGTCTCTCAAGAATAAATAAATAAAATCTTAAAAAAAGAAGAAGAGTCAGGGATTATTTCAATGATCTTTTTGCCAATGTGGCTGGAGGGATCTAAGCCACCACCCAATGAGAGTTTGAAGATGGAGGAGAAGCAGATTTGAGGATCAAGAATTCTGTTCTGCAATTGAAAAAGCCTTTCAAACATTCAAGCAGAGATACTCTGTGGTGATTTGACTACAGGAATCTGGAGTTTAGAGTAAAAGACAGATGTCTCGGTATCATTGGTGAATCACTGGTATTTAAAATCACATGACTGTGGACTAAGTATAATATCGAAAAAGGGCCAAGAGCAAGACTGAAGGACTCTAAAATTAAAAAGTCGATATGGAGATGGGCGATGTGGAAAAAATAAGAAACAATTCTGTGAGTGACTTAGTGAAGTAAAACCATGAAAGCCTGCTGATCTGAAAATCAAAATAAGAAAATGACTCAAGAAGGAGTAGTCAACTGTGCCAAAAGCTGTTGATAGATCAAGTAAGATGAGGATTGAGAATTTACCATTGAATTTATCAGTGGGAAGTCACTGGAGCACGAAGGACAATGGGAAATGGTGCTGGCTTGGCTGTTGGAGGGAATTTTTAGATGTGAAAACCTTGATCCTCACAGTCCTGTGCTTTGTATGCAAGAAGTATCTTATAGTTTTCTACTCTCCAAAGGCCTTCATTTAAACCAAGAAAACATTTATGAGAGTCGTGACAAGAACATTTTTGGTGGGGTGGATTCAGAAAGAAATTGGAACAGAAGAACTGTAGACTACTAAGTGGGACAATTGCAATGAATCTTGCTCTTACGGGGAGGAGAGAAATAAAGTAGTAGCTGGGGGAATTGTTTTTTTAAACATTGGGGGAGATATTATAAGATAATAGCCTGCCGATAGAAATGCTCCTATTCAGAAGCAAAAATTGATACTGCAAGCAAAGGAATGAGTGCAAGAGGGAAGAGTTCAAATAATTGAGAGGAAACATGGTCCAGTCCCTACGTGGTCAGTGAGCTTTGGGTAGCAGTAGGACATGTCTTTCTTATAACAAAGGAGGAACTCAGGGTATATAGTTGATCTCAGGGTATATGGTGAAGATGAACATGTTCTTGAGGCTTTTATTTTCCCTATACAATGGTAAACAAGGCCATCCCCTGCGAATGAGGAGAATGGAGAAGGGACGAGTGTGAAAATGTGTGGAACAACCTTCCTGAGACAGTAAATTGTCAAGCACAGCTTTGAATTGTCTAGTGAATTTTCTAGGATGTGGTTATCCATAGAAATACAATGCAAGCCACGTATGGAATTTCAGACTTTCTAGTAGCCACCTTAAAAGGGTAAAATAAAACTAGTAAAATTAATTGTAACAATATATATTTTATTTCACCAAATATACTCAAAGTATTATCATTTCAGCATGTATCAGTGTAAAAACATTGAGATCTTTTACATTCTTTTTTCTGGTGTTAAGTTTCTAAAAGTCAGTGTGCATTTTACCTTTTCAACCCTATCTTAGTTCAGACTAGCCATATTCAAGCGCTCAATGGCCTTGTGCAGCCAATGGCTATCACTGGATATTGCAGGTCTAGGAAATGAAGTAGCGCTAACGCGTCACATGAAGGTCCCTTGAGATTGGGAGCCATGAATTGAAGTGAGATTTGCATGGCTATGTGTTGTTCTTAGGCTACCTTCGGAACTCATATGGAGGTGTGCAATAGGCAGAGAGGTGGTCTGGACCAAGAATGGAGTTCTGTCTGCAGCAACCAAAGGAAAAGAAAAGAAGGGAACCGGGGGCACGTACAACCAAATGATTATACAAATTAAGCAGAGAATCATAAGCCACAGAAGTAAGAGACAGGGCCAGTGTGAAAAGGTGGTAGAGACAACGGAAGTTCTAGTAGGGTCAAAGAAGTTTTAGAATTGTAGTTGCTGTGCAATATACTAATATGTTTAAAACCATCCCTGCCCTCAGCAAGCTGAGGCTGGTTACAGGGACACCAAGAGCTTTGCTATAACGTGGTGTATGGTGTATGTACAGCAGCGCAGTAGCACAAAATATGTTTTATATGAGTTTGGAGGAAGAAGAACCCATGTCCTACTAGGATGATCCAGGAGAGTTCAAGGAGGAGCTGGTCAGTAATTCAGGACCTGAAGGATGAAATACGGTTTTACTTGGTACATGGGAAACACATTGCAAAATGAGGGAGGAAAACACACAAGAATAGATAGAAGGAAAAATGTTCAGTATTTCTTGGGGATGAGAGTTTTAAAAAAGCTTTAATGTTAATATTGATTGAGAGGGCTATTGATTACAGTGGGGAAGGCAGCCCATAAATAATGATAGGTCTTTAGAGAACATCCCTGGGGTAACTTCCCTGGGGAAAGAAAGACTTCACTATAAAATATATTGATAGTCCCAGAACACACCATTTCCTAGGAATGAAACAACCAAGTACCAAATACTGTTTCCAAGTAATAAATGCCCTTCTTGGGATCCCTGAGTGGCGCAGCGGTTGGGCGCCTGCCTTTGGCCCAGGGCGCGATCCTGGAGACCCGGGATCGAATCCCACGTCGGGCTCCCAGTGCATGGAGCCTGCTTCTCCCTCTGCCTGTGTCTCTGCCTCTCTCTCTATCTCTCTCTCACTATGTATGACTATCATAAATAAAAAAAAGAAAAAAAAAGAAGTAACTCCCTTTTTAAAAAAAATAAAAATAAAAAAATAAATGCCCTTCTTTTCTGGCCTGTCTCATTCTTACACACACACACAAACACCTTTCATCTTTCCTTTAGAATTCAGTCTCAAAAATGTAATTCTCTTCTTTGGAATGGTCAATTACATCTAAAGAGAGAAACACTATATATACCTTTCACCATTATATCCTGGAATAAAGCTTTATAACCAAGTAGGATCAGAATATGTGGGATTAAAAAGGCTTTGATTACTACTAACACTTTATTTTTTAAAAGCAGATCTACTTCCACCATACAGATCTAGTTTTTTAAGTCCTTCAGAAAATAAGCTGCAAAAATATACTCTTTTTTTCCTAAATCTGATGCCATTTCTATTAAAATTTTAAGGGAAAGTTAGCATTTCAATTTCGTTTGGTTCTCAATATCATCATCATGAAACAACAGGAAATTTAGTTTTTCCTAAGTATGTTCAGATCATTGTTGCAAAAAAAAAAAAGTTAGCCTCTCTTTTCCCAGCTCTAAATATTTAGGAAAACCTGCCAGTGTATCCACTCTCTCCTGTTTTTCACAAGAATCTTCTACTTCAATTGGAATATTTAGAAACAGTAAGAAGAGCTACATGTTTCCACATGAGACTTTAATAATACTGTACTTTGTATTTATATATCATATATCCTTGGTACTTCATAGCTCATTATCATTATAAATTTACAAATCAGTATATGAAAGCACAAGGCTTAGAAGCAACTCTTTTCCCGTCCAACAGTAAGTTATTAATGCCAGGACTGGAACTCATAATTACTGACACATGTGGTCCTTCGACATCTAAAGATCACTTTCATAACATAAAATGAAGTGCTCAGTAAGTAGAACATATCAATTATCAAATATCCTATTTATTCAAGATAATTTCAAGAACCATGAAGCTTTAATCATATAACCATATATAAATAACCATATTAAACAACCCTATTAAGCCTCATAGGCCTACATTAATATAAGTATAGATTAATGTATCATTTGATCAAAACTAATACTTCATATGAATTAGTAAATATGTATACACATATAATCCAATCAGTTCCACAAAGTAGAATATATTCCAATCAAAAAGCAAGCAAATAGGTCAACATGCTTAAAAATGTGAACTACTGCTTTTAAAATGTTTTCACCAACGTGCTGTAATTCTGAAGGGTACAGATGCCACTAGTCGGACTGCTACGTAGGTCATCAAGTCTCTCCTTACTGGGAATAAAAGCATCCATTGTCTGCTGATTCAATAAGGAACGTAAGATACCCAGTTCTCTTAGCCGTACTGGCTGTGGTTTTGATGCTGGTGTCTTAAACATTCATACGTCTGGGAGATCCTATAAGCTCTGTCTCAAAGAAGCACAGGCCACCACATGGGCGTCTGAAGGGAGATTAGCAAGTGACTGAATCACTTGACTATTGTCTTCAAACACTGGTGGGCAGCATTCAGGTCTCTGTCAAACTATTGCCCTTGAATTTGTAGAGCCAAGCGACTGCAGATGTTCCTAAACTCAACACTATCCTGAAATACACAGCAAACAACAGCAATTAGATAGGTTACAGGGACATTTGTCGTGTTTTGTGTTTCCAGCTTCCATTCCCATCTCTTCTCATCACAGGACCTCAATTTTTCTCTCAGAGAACTACTCTCCTCCATTTTCAGCCTCTGTGATTTGACCAAAGCTGACGCCACCCACTTGACCTCTCAGGGACGGGGCCAATCAGAGACTACCAGCCCTCAATCACCTTGGACTGGTTTGAATGAACAGATGATCTAATACAGACCAATAAGCCACAGGTCTAGAATGTGTTAGACTGGAAAAGAGAAGCTCTCTGTAACTGGGGCTTTGGGAAAGCATCCTGCCACCATAAGGGGAGAATCCAATGAGAACAAGCCAGCACGGGGGAAAAAAATAGCAGAACCAAGGGATTAAAAGAGCTTGATTCTAATTACATTCGCTGAGCATACTGATCCAGCAATCCCTGAACAATAAACCCCAGGATTTTTTGGGTATCTGAGTCGATAAATATGCCTTTTTACTTAAGCCATTTGGAGTTGAGTTTCTGTTATTGGTTCCTAACAGAGCTTTGAAGAATACACAAATAATAGCCTCTGTTCCTATTATTCCATACTCACTGTCTTCGAAATTCCAACACAGGATTTGGTATTTAACGAACATAGTTTCAAGAACTTTCCAAAGCAAATTTAGAAAGAAGAGTTCCCAGGCGGTTTAAAAGAATGAAATAATTAAATAGATATTTAATCCCCAAATGTTTCACATTCTAAAATCCATTGTATAGAAATGGCACATTAAGATTATTCCAAGAAACAAACAAAATTATTCCATATCAGAGACAATGTTGAATATATAACTTATTTTAAATAGTGTAAATGACTTTCCATAGACTTCTGGTTCTGGTAACATGGCACACTTAGTTTCCCCAAAGGGGAAACTGAGTTTTAAATAAAATAGAACAGGGGTGCCTGGGTGCCTCAGCGGTTGAGCGTCTGCCTTTAGCTCAGGGCGTGACCCCAGGTCCTGGGATGGAGTCCCACACCGGGCTCCCTGCAGGGAGCCCGCTTCTCCCTCTGTGTTTCTGCCTCTTTCTCTGTGTCTCTCATGAATAAATAAATAAAATAGAACAAACATCCTTTCTGATATTGCAAGAAAGCAATGGAAATTCCTAAGGGCCAAAGATGAAGAAAAAGTAGATTATTTTAGCTGCCCACCAATATTCATTAAAAAAATTTACTCTAGAGCTGGGTTTGGCGTAGAGGATAAAGTTGCCCCAAGCATGTGGAACCGTGGACCTGTACTACCCAACAGCTTAAGTTGGGAGCTGCCCTCTAGGCCATATACATGTTCTGGGAACATTCATGCTAAGAAGTTAACTTTAAAAATTGGAACTGGGCTGAAATATCCATGGATACATGGTAAAAGCAAACAAAAGCCTATTCCGTGGGGACACGTCCACAACCCCCTCTGCCCCACAGCAGTATTCCTATAACCCTCTGTCTAAGACAAACTCAGAATATGAAATTTAAAATACAATCCACCCTGATACAGCAGATACCAATACTTGGTAGGATTAAACTCCAAGTATTTCAGCTAGAAACTATAAAATATGTTCAAAGTGATTAAAAATATAAAAGAAGTAATCAAAAACATTTTAAGTAAGAACAGGCTTACCATTTCTAGAAATGATAACTATTGTGATTTAAATTAAACACCGAATAAATGCATTCGAAATGAGGAACAGTAAACTGGATGATGAATATGAGAAAACTACTCAGAATGCAAGATAAAAAAAAAAAGCCAGATAGGAAATAGGAATGAAAAGTTAAACAATATGGATGAAAGAAGCAGAAGAAAGAGGCTGGGGGAAGGGAAGGGAGACGATATTCAAAGAGAATAATGGATAAGAATTATTCAAAATTGATCAAAAACATGAGTACAGGTTCATGAACATAGAGTCAGGAAGTAAAATGAGCCCAGAACAGAATAAGTTAAATGAGATTCAAATCTAAATTTATTAAGGCAAAACTACTCTTAAAAGCAGCTGGGTGGGTGTGGGAACAATGGCTTTCAAGGGATGACAGGACAGACAGCCAACGACTAAGCTGCAACGATCGAAGACAGAAAAGAAAGGGATAATTTTTCAAATAATTGTCAACAGAATTCTTTTAAATCCAACTAAACTATTATTTAAACATCAGGGAAAAATAAATAGGGCTTCATTTAAATGGACAACAGGGGTTGCTACCCTCACTGTCATATCTTCCTAGAGATATAATTCAGAAAGGAGAAATTCAATTTGAAAGGAAAGAATGAGAATCAGGAAGCAGCAATGAACCAAGAAGCTTAAAAGTATGATGTAAATCTAAAGAACTTATTGCTCAAAACTAAAATTATCACAATTAACTTGGGGCTTACAAAAGTAGATTGGTTCCAGAATGCTGAAGAGTAAACACAGAGGAAGGAGCGGCATCCTAAGGCATTGCGCAGATTCAGAAAGGTGGCAAAACTGATAAATTTCAGACTGGTTAAGTATGCATGTGAGACATGTAAGAGTTATCATTCAAATACGGAAATAAAATGTAAAACTTCAAAATCAGCAGACAGAACAGGAATATTAAAACTTAATTGACCCATTCTTCAGAAGGTAAAAATGAAGAAATGTACAAACATAAATCCAGGTGAATAGAAGGTATCAAATAAAACACCTTTTGAAATGTAATGGTTACCAGATTGGATTTTTTTTTTTTAAAATCTATTGATAAATTCCTTACAAGAAACACACTCAAAACTAAAAAACACCTAAAGACTTAAAATAAATGAATGCTAACATAATATACAAAGCAAACAAAGAGAAGCCAAAACAAAGCCAGAAAAATCATTATGAGGGATACAATAAATTACAATTATTAAAGGAACTATTTTTATTCCCCAAGAAGATATAAAAATTTTGTACTTGTGTGTGCCCAATATGATAATCTTTTTCTTTTAGAGATTTTATTTACTTATTCATGAGAGATACAGACTCCATGCAGGGAGCCCGATGTGGGACTCGATCCCGGGTCTCCAGGATCACACCCTGGGCCTAAGGCAGATGCTGAACCACTGAGCCACCCAGGCTGCCCCCCGGCTCTTTTTTTAAAAACTGGTTTCACCTTTGGAGAAAAAATGAGCCAATGTCTCAGAGCAGATTCATCTGCTTTAAACTAGGAAACCCGGTTCTCCAGGATCAGGTCCTGGGCCGAAGGCGGCGCTAAACTGCTGAGCCACCCGGGCTGCCCATGATAATCTTAACTTACATTCAATCTACAAACATAAAAACTGATTTTTTTTTTTACCCAGCTTCCTCAGAATCTAATAAATCAAATAACAAAATGATCAGCCTGGAGAGAAAGACTGAAACAGGAATCACAGGCTTGGTCCAATAAAGATAAGCAAATACAAATTATTCCCAAAGATATATGGAATGTTTATGAAAGCTGACTATATAATGATATGCCAAAAGCAAATTCTTTTTTTTTTTTGCCAAAAACAAAATCTTAATGAATACCTAGAAATCTATATCACACAAATCACAAAGCAAGTAAATTAGAAGTCGGTAGCATAACCTTCCCAATACATGGATGACTTAAAGACCTACCTCTACATCATTCATGGATCAATGAAAAAATAATTGAAATTTTACAATACTTTATAATGAAGAATGATGGCACTGCTATATTACAAATTTGTGGGCTGCAGCTGAATTGAGAAATTCACACACTTAATGCTATGTAAGGAAAATAACCACTGAAATAGCGTGAGCTAAGAAATCAACTCAATAACTTTAGGAAAATAAAAAAAAAAAAAAAACAGAGAATCCAAAAGAAAATGAAAGAACTAAAAGCTGAACTAGAGCTTAGGACCAGAGTGTTCTTCCTAATTCTGTACAGAAAGGGAAGCTATTCTTGTCCCTAACAAAAAACTCTGGCACTTGGGTCAGAGGACCTGGGCTTCTGGCAAAGTGTTTATTCGAGAACATCTTCTGGGAAACAAAACAAACACTGGTCTATTCAGTTCGCCCAACAAAGGCCGCAGGACCCGCACGTGAGGTGCTGGGGTAGAAAGAGCAACACAACGCGCCACAGTTCTCTCCCCAAGCACTCCCAGGCCACCAGCCTCCTGGTTTTCCTTCCCTTCATGGCACTCTCGGTCCCCGCCCTCGTGTGTTGCTCATTTCTGCTCGGACGGTATCAAGGGGCTACTTAGATGGTCTGTCCCATGGTTTATGGAGTAACCTATATTCCTGGAGCAGATTGCTTGGGAACGGGAAAGTAGAAGGAAAAAAAAAATGCCTCTGGACTACTTCCCCTAGATCCACATCAAGGGAAATTGTCTGCTTGCTTTCTAGAAGTAATCCAACTCTAAGTACAAAGTGGAAGGATCAAAGACAACATGCTAAGGGAAATTCAAAATTGAGGGAACCACTGAAATGTGTGCCGACGTGTGCCTATTAGCCAGTCTGCAAAGGCATTCATCACCCAAATAAGATTAAAATGCCTTTAAAAATATGTTTGTGGGCCTAAAATCTGAAGTCAATTTCACGTTTACTGTAAAGAATCAAAGAAGGCATCGTTTGGGGAAAGTATACATATAATAAAATTCCACTGCTGGGCTGTACTGGTCCCTGAGGCCCTGGGTAAACTTCAAATCTCTGGCAAGCTTTGCAAAGTCTCCTTATTTTACTCTTTTAGTGCGGTATTTCTTTTTAATCCTTTCTCAAATATATTAACAGTCAAAGAAAACAAATTAATAGGCAGAGGCTTTCCATGGGACTCTTAAGCCTGGGGATGGAAAAATAAAACAGGTGGTTGCTTCCCTTCCTTCTGAAGGGCCTGAAGGCCAACTGTGGATCCAGCGATCATGGCCTCCAGCCACACCCCTGCCGATGCTGTTGCACGGGCAGAGGCCCAAAATTCAGTGTTGAGGCAGCGGCATGCTGAATGGCTCATGGGCTTGCAGTAGA